TCCCATCTCCGAAACGTCGTTTTACGTTTTATATTTACTAGACGATGGATAATATCCAAGAAAATTTTTATTCAATTGACTCTTCACCATCGTCAAGAAGTTTTAGATCTGATATAAATATATAGGATTTGAAGTCTTCACGGTGATGAGTCTGAAGATGGTTGTCTTCTGGGTTGTTGCACCGTGTCGTCTGGTAGAATTTTACCGACGTTTCAGAGGTCCTTGCTGCCTCCTTCATCAGGGCGACTACACGGTGCAACAACCAGAAGACAGCTATCTTCAGACTCACTGCCACGAAAATCTCAAATCCTACAGGGTAAATTTTTAAAATGAGAACCCAATGAATAATGTGATAATAATATATTATTAATATTCGTAATATTGGGTTCATGTTTAAAAAAAAATTCTCTGTGTAAAATAATTTGTATATTCTGTTCATATATTATTTGAGACCATTTTGTAGTATTATGCAGTTGTAATGTATTTGAAATTATAATGTTTTTGATCATTTAACAAAGGTTCCTTTATTTTTAAAATTTCTCACGATGGCAATGTTATTACTAGTGTATAAAACGCAGCGACGGAATTATTAAAATTGTATTTGGAAGCCTATATCGTAACAGAAGAAATTTTTTAATATTTAATGAATTTTGAAAATGCAAGTAAAGGTCCTGTGTTTTATACCAAGTGCCTGTACGTATTTCTTCGCATTGCTGCTTAATTATGTTAAAATGTGTTCAGATTGTGCTGTGATGGTGTTGTGTCACCTCTTGTTTTGTGAGTACGAGGTGCGATCGGAAAGTTTAAAGACTGCGCGTATAAAAACCCGTACACTTATCTCAGGTATTAAATTCATCCATCACCCTCGAAGTAGTTCCCCTGGGAGTGAACACAACGATCCCAGCGCCGCTGCCAAGCCTGGAAGCATCCCTGGAAATTCTGTAAGATAAATGAATAAATTTAAAGGTTCCTTTAAAGATGAAAATTCAGCTAAAGGGAAGGAGATTTGAGACGATAGAAGAGATTCAGGCAGAATCGCAGATGGTGCTTGACAGGCTGACAAAGAAAGATTTCCAGGGATGCTTCCAGGCTTGGCAGCGGCGCTGGGATCGTTGTGTTCACTCCCAGGGGAACTACTTCGAGGGTGATGGATGAATTTAATACCTGAGATAAGTGTACGGGTTTTTATAGGCGCAGTCTTGAAACTTTCCGATCGCACCTCGTACATTTTTCTTTATAACTTTGCTACTTTTTTCCTCTGGAGTTATGGGTGTTTTTATATTATGTTGATTGGCACTTCTGTACGAAACAGTCTTAAAATTACCAGTGCTAACACACAATTACAGTATATGGAGTACATTTTACATTCCGATATATTTTATGATATTATTAATATGGATATATAAGATTAATTTGAACTAGACGTCATAATTGAGCGCGTAGTACTCGTCGATAAAATTTTTGAGGTCTCTGGTCAAAATTTGAGCCCAGAAACCAGCTATCTGGACTTACGTTTTTCATGATTTTCCTCAGATCTTACTCATTGATCGTCATATCTTTTGACACTATATAGTCTGAGCTATAGACAATGTCATTAAATAAATAACAAATGAAATAAAATAAATTGAGTTTGGTTGACATTTTATGAACGTTTTCAAGAATTATGGTTTCTTAAACAACTTATTTTTTACTGTTCTGGTAATTTTTATGTACGGAGTTACGCGTTTGAATTTAATTCAGATAATATCGGTGTACATTCAGCTTGATAGGTAATCAATAAATAATTCTTTGTTTGTTTATTATAGTTTATTTAATGACAATGTTAGTAGCTTTAACAATTTCACTGAAATACTTCTTAAAATTTAAAAAAAAAATGAATTTTCATAACCTACAATTTAAATTGGTTTATATTATAATTTAAATTTCAAATAGTAATTTAATATGGTAGATTAATTGACCAAGTGAATTATGGTAGCCCATTAAAAGAGTGTTGTTTCGACACACAATTCCCAGTGGTATAAATTTATTTCTTCTCTGACAAAATAGATACGTGGTTACATCAATTACTGTGAAACGTTCACATCACATATAGGAAGTGACGTCATCATCTGTCTTTTACGTTGACAAATCGAAATACAGTATAACTTGTAATGATCTTAAATTTAACTTTAATGTTGGTTTATTTAAAGGCATTTCACAAAATATCTGAACAAGTATCAAAATATTTTTTTTTCACAAATTAATCTTTAATGTTTTGAATAAAAGCGGAAGTTTCTATTGAAGACATTATGGCAGCCGCTGCCACTGGCTGATTATGTATGGACAGAAACCCTTTGTGATTCACTTTGTCCATTACAAATTCCGCTTTAACATATTTATTGCCTGCGATATGAAAAAACAGAACTTCCAGTGTGTGTCTTTAGACTAGTATTACTGTCAAGGCACTCGGTGGATTGAAATCCTCAAATTCTGCTCTGGCAGTGAACTCTCCTCTCACTTCCTGGCTAAAATACTGTGTGTCGACACTACACTGTTTATTTTTAAAACATACTTTTACTTTACACTTTCCTCACTGTTAGTTATAAAATTATGCGTACTTACATTATCAGCGATTGTTAAGTTGGTAGTATATTTGCATACATTGCAAGCAGCTGGAATTCGATTCTCGTTGAGGTGAAGAACATTTTTCCTTCTTTAATTTCGACACAGTCAGTGGCATTTTGAGACACAGACTAAAACACAACACTATTTTTGAACCAAATGAACTGTAAAACACTAATAATCCAGGCACAAGCCTTAACACTTACACGTTTTTTCGACAACTAAAATGGTTAATTTCACAAACGATCACACGCGATGTACGACTAGGTTATCGCTGTATACGATATTGTTTCGTGGTCTTACACTCCTATCTATTTACATATTTGTAATGATCAAGGAAGCATGGAGTTATGTTGTGGCTATTACGTTACTTTTAACAAGATATCCACCAGTTTAACCTGTTCGCTCAAGGTCGCACACTGCCACACTAAGCGGTGTCATATTTCAAACCTCTACTGGCTGAAACCACACGCGAGCCATTACACCGGTAACGACAGTCACGTACGCCAAGTTCACGCTCATTTGTTTTTCCTCTTTGTCACCATTGGTGTCAGGATTTCTGCTCGTGGGTGAAATGAATCTATAACCCACGTTTTATTTCTGTTAATAGAGACACCTACTCTGGCACGAGTTTCGTTTATTTACAAATCCCGAATTTTTCCAGGAATATGACAACTAAAAATTACGCGTGGACGTTTGTATTTAATTATAAAAAGAAATCGGGGAAAGTTTTGATTGCATTAACAGATATACATTTTGTTACTTTACGCTTGTCTAAATTTTACGACGCCAGATTTATAAAAAGTTAAATGTTTAACGCTATTTTAAAGTGTATCGTGTTCCTAGTGTTTAGCAGGGGCCCTGTTTCAATTTTGGTTTCTCTGTAAAGAGGCCTATTCTCCTGTTTGTGATTTCTCTAGACATTCTTGTAGCAAAATTTTGTGATATAATAAAACAGGCCACGGCAGCTTCCTTTTACATCTATACTAGTTTCCGTGTTACTAAATTTAACACTTTGATATCTAATTTGACCTTAATTTGACCTTAAATAAGGAATAGGACATTTTAAACTATATTTACTGGATAATGGTCTCTGTTGTCAGAAAATTTTGTCTTCTTCAATGCAGAAATAACTGTAGCGGAGGCGAAGATGACGCTGGAAGCAATGACGGCGCCTGGCGTCCAGACGATGACTCAACAGAAGATAAAACCACGGAATTTCAACAATCCCCAACTCTGGTAAGAAGCCTACGTGGTCTTCTACTCTAGTCATAGATTGTTTCTGCCTCAAAAGACGTTTACTGAGAAACGTTTCGATGTAGAATTATTTGTGGAGCTGTCGGGGACGCTGGGGAGGGGTAGGGGGGTGTTAAAGGTGCCGCTACTAATACAAAGTACATAAAAGTAAAGATTTCTCGCTATACGCCATGTAGGCACTTGGGGGAAGTGGAGGTATAGCTCTTACACATTATTAACTTCGCTTTACCCCTGGGAGAGGAACCCGGTACCCATTGGATAGGAGGCTCTGTGGGCCCCAGAGACGGTCTGGACGCAGAGGCTAGCCAGGGATCGAACAGTCCGCAGTCACTTTTCTGACTGAACTACCCCGGTCCCTTAATACAAAGCACGTTCCCTAAAATTTATCAACTGTAACAACTCTAGTATCACTAAACGAATTTTTATTAAATTTTACAGTGAGAATTTTTATAAATTTTATAGACATATTCAAATTTGAGTTAAAAAGAGACACCAATAATTGACAATTTACCTAACGTAACCTAACCTAACCTAGCCTAACTTAACCTAAACTAACCTAACCTAACCTAACAAACGTAACCTAACCTAACGTAACCTAACCTAACGTAACCTAACCTAACGTAACCTAACCTAACGTAACCTAACCTAACGTAACCTAACCTAACGTAACCTAACCTAACGTAACCTAACCTAACCCAACCCAATCCAACCTAGCCTATCCTAACCTAACCTAACCCAACCCAACCCAACCCAATCTAACCTAACCTAACCTAAGCTAACCTAACCTAATCTAACCTAACCTAACCTAACCTAACCTAAACTAACCTAACCTAAATTGCTCCGGTGCATGCATGGAATTGATTCGGTAGGGAATCCTAGCCTTGGTAATTTATAACCGGCTACATAACCATGAAAGGGAATCCTTCATGACGAGTTGTCAGCCAGACGCCACACATTCCACACAAGGAAAGTTATAACATTTCAGATAACTCTATGGTCTTTGGTAATTTTCTCAAAGTTTATAGTTTGAAAGTTACGGAATGCGCCAGAATTGTCACGTTACGCGTACATTTACTACTTTGTTGATTTTACGTTCAGAGTTGCCTCGCTAATATAATATTAAATGTAATGACCTCCAACTGACAAACAAACATCGTATGTGAAAATAAACTTCATTTTTGGTTCAGACGCAAAATCTAAGATTTTGAAATATCACGATAAATGTCAAAGTAACCACGTTCTCAGCTGGAAAACTTTTTACAGGGTATGAATCCTAGCCACTCAACTGCGAAATGTTATTAAACACTAAATAATATCTGTATTTCGGAGAAAATTGGTCGTCTGTAAACCTTGAATCTGCAGATAAAAGCCCACGCGAAATAAAATGCCATGCCAATTTACATATAATATTTTTTTACAAATGAAAAGCTGTCTCATAATTTCTTGTTTCAGAATTTTTATTTTTGTATTTTAATTAATTATCTAACCGTTTTCACGCAACAATTTTAAAATTAATAACTTTACGCTCTTTGAAACTTTATTTCAGAAATTACTACAAAAGTCGGCCATCTTCAGACTCACTGCCGTGAAAACCTTAAATCATACTTTCTGTGTGAAGACGGTTAATTAATTTAAGTTCTAATAGTTTTAAAATATGGCGCTAAAATACAATCTGGTTTATTATTATGTTTGAATCTTTGTCTCCGTCAGAATCATAGAGTTTTCTAGACAGCGCAACCGTAAAAATATAATGGTTATGTGTCGGCCTGACTTAGCAGAATGAGCTTCAGATATTTACGTCTGAGCGCGCACTACAAAAAATTCCACTGTATTAGCGGTTGCAGTGATGATGGCAATAGTAAGTTTAAAGGGGCTTCTATTATTTATTTTAAAAGACGTGATACGTTGAGATACGATTGTCATATTCTGATCGTATTTTATTTTATTTATTTATGATTTATTAAACGACGCTAGCAGTATCTCAGACTTTACAATTTTACAAAAAATTATCTCTTCTACGCTTAAATATTTTATTTATAAGTTAGTAATTAATTTTATTGCTGCTACGTAATTTCTACACTTTATCACAAATAAATTACAAAAAAAAATACTAATAAACTTTAAAGAATAATAATTTATTGATTCATTATTAATTAATTTCTGATAATTGGATAGAACGTCATTGATTTTCCCAACTCATTAGCTCAGTTAAAATATTTATAAAATCAAGAAGGAAAAGTTGGGAAATTCTAAAGCGAATTGGTGACATAGAAAAACAACACAGAATATTTTATAAAAAACCTGAAAGGAAGTCACCATTTGTATGATTTAGACTGAGGATAATAAAACGTACCTTACAAATAGTATATAATAGTTGTAGACTAAATTAACATGAATTATTACAGGGTCGAATGGTTGACTTTTGTAAAACCTTTGGGTTCCATACATTGTGGGAAATTTCAATTTTATGACTTGTTGAGCGACAGTTAGATTCTCAAGGACTGTACTACATGTAATTAGTAGTCTCTGTCCGGTGTTATTAATTGTATCTCCCCACCTGTATGTCTGTCGAATACATTGTGTAATGATGTTGGAGATCACCACCGAATGACTTCAGTCTCTCTTTCTATCTCCCCCATAAGACTGAGCCGCCTCGCTATTGTGTCAGAAAGTTTGCCGATGCAGCAAGGGGCCATCATCCGTACATAATTAGTTTACTTATAAAGGAAAGGAGAAGTTTTTATAATACTAAAAATTCTTGTAAATTAAGTTTAAAACAACTTTACGTCGATGAAGGAAAAATGTCGCTTCAAAATTTATACTTAAAATACAGTTTACTTGGAGAAGAAAGGCAAATATTTACCTAATCTCTGTGATGCTTCTGCTAGAAAGTCAGGTGGGACGATTAAAGGTTTCCTATATAATTTCTTTTTTATTTTCTCGTTTTTTATTTACGAAGAACGTCTCATTGTGATTCTTACATTTCGAGAGATATCTGTGCCGATATTTTAAGAAAATCTCTCTGCCTTATCATATAGTTAAGAAGAAAAACGGAGACATCAAAATATAAGTTTCACAATCTATAGAAATATTAAATTGTTAAGGTAAATAAGTGCAGGGTCATATAACATATATGGGAAACATGAAAAACATAAAAATGTTGACTCAGAAACACCAAACCAAGAAACCATATGAGAAACGTAGACGTAGTTGTTATAATAATATTAAAATCGATCTCAGGAAATATAATGTCAAGCTATGGGCTGAATTAAACTGTCTCAGATACAGCCCAGTGACCTTCATGAACAAGGTAATGAATTTTTGGGTTCGACAATAGCTCAGTAACCGTTAACGTTTAACTTTATATAGAAATTTGCAACCGAACGTAATTCTAAACTACTTTCATGCAATTTCCGTCCTCACACTAACTTCTCTAAGATAAACTAAATATTAATGTTATCCTCCCATGCCTTCCTCGGTCTTTAAAGTTTACTATTTTCAAGTTTTTCTATCAAAATTCTGTATACATTACTTTTATCTCGCATTATAGCCACGTCCATCTGTAGCATTTGAAGGGTTTGAAAATTTAACCCTAATGCTAGAGTTAGTTATTTGTTTAATTAATTGGCAGAAATGTGAGCATTCAAATAAAAAATAAATTAAATAATATATATAAGATTAAGATAAATTAAAATACAATAAACAGATTAGCTATTACGTCCAAAATATTGGAAAGGCCAATCAGTTGTAATGGAGTCGAATGTTACAGCCATACTGAAGTCCTGTGCTATTAATACAGTTGATGAATTTTTATCTCTTAATTTGTTACACATCTCTGAACTAGTTTGCATTGTAAATAACTTTATTTAGAAGAACACAGACCGAAAACGAGTTTATAATATGCATTTGGTTTTCTTAAGTTTCCAACATGTCTTCCTTAGATGATTTTATATGTTAGCCTGTAAAAAGTCGATCAATCGTTCTAGAAGTTAGGTTAGGTTCTTTAAAAGCAGGGAATTACGAACAGAATACGATTCAGATGTCTACTACTTCAAAGACTCTGTTTTGTAACGTGAATCCTGTTTCTGTAGTGATTGAATGCAGAGGATGAATGTGATAAATTAAAATCTGTGGATTCAGACAGATTCAAAAAAAAGAGCGTGTCTGTTAGGAAGTTCGGTCCGCTTAGCTTGCGTTTTGAAGTTGAGGGGTTAGTACAGTAAACAGCCGCTGGAGGGCTGAGTATGGATTACGTCATGAAGTACAATATAATTGCCAAGAGAGCTAGCAGACATTCTGTGTTGTTAAAAACTTGACGGATTTCAAATTGACGAAGGAAATGCCATGTAAACTGTTGATATTTCTTAGTTGGTACATAAAATACTTAACATTCAAGAGATTATACTCTTCGTTGGCCCCAAAACAGAATACTGAGATGAGGATTATTGTTTTTGGTCCACAGCCTGACGTCTGGTGGTTGTCTGCCCCACAAGAACACCGAGATCTTAGCCTCCATGTTCAGGACGACAATCCCATATCCATGGAAACAAGACGTCTTCTCAGGTAGCCGGTGAAACAACATTAAACAACATTCTACATCATCATTACCCGAATCACGAATTTTTTATAGTCTCTATACAATAGTCTTTAAAAATCATTACTCTGGTAAACGTTAAGAAATAATTCATTTAAATATTATTAAAATATTATGTCTTTGTTATTTATGTTTTATTTTAGAATTCTGTCAGTATCTTAGACTATGCACACGCATGTAATGTATTTGTACAGAAGTAAATTTTCAGCAAATTAGCCATATCATACTAATAATTAAATATCAAAACTGAGTACTTGTAGTATATTAAAATGCAAATAGGGTCATTTATCAATTCGTACCCGCCGTCCGTACATTTGATTGGTCCGAAATGAAAATTATTTCCGTCGTAAAATCGATCTATGACCTGTGTTTTCACCGAGTGATCGATATGAGTGTAACTTTCTAGTTGAATGGGATTCACACAATATTTGTGCAATTATTTTATTTAATATAGGCCTATCTGTGATTTTTCTTACAGATTCGATGTGAAGTGGGTAATTTCAAACCGACTTACAGTACAGTCATAATCAAAAAGTATAATTACTTAATCCAAACATTTCAATGTTCGATTCCCATCATCATTATTTTTGAAGGAACCCAGTAGGTAGTCTAATATTGGACAGATATTTCGAATTGCTTGTATATTCTGGTTTACTTCTGTTATATTTCTGAGCAGAAGTCAAATTGAACCAATAAAATTTATATTATTAATCTGTACACGCAGAGATATCTAGATAATAAAATAATTGTTTACAATTCCGCCCTGAAGTTTAATCTGAGCTTATCTATCAAAATGAACATAACAAATATAATCCTAAGTAAATCATTAATAATAAATTTATAACATTATATTATTTTATTTAAAATACTTTTCTGCAGACGTGGACGCACGGGTCAGGAGTTAGTACTTAATTTTATTCCTAAATATGATTCTCTGTAGGAAAGTGGTAAGTTGTTGGCCGATTATATTTTGTATGATTATAACAGAAAATGTCATTGCAAAGAAAGCTTTTGAATAGCCCTTAGAATTAGTAAAAAAATGACTTACGACTTTCTAAGGTCCATGGCCACGTCAGGTCCACCATTTGAGTGGCCATATTTTACCCTAAAACACGTCTTGATACATTCTATTTCCATTGTTTCCCTTTCAAAATTCTAATTGGACCGCTCTAAGATCTATTTTTCATTGCTACACATTGTCACGTGGTAGAAGGTTTGTCTGATAATTCTCGTCGTATTGTTTAAACTACTACGTTTCAATTCATTGATATTAATATTTTGTTTAAAAGACCTAGTAGGTACGTGTAAGTTCACAAATTGTTACAACTGATATCAACATCGACATTTTAATCGCCGTGATAACCTCAAATATCTTGTTCGATTAAACTACAGTACGAAATCGATAGTCTGAGATCGAATTTAGCCTGTCACTAGAATAGAAAATTTTAATTGCAAATAAACAAATAGTTTTCGACTGTTCATATAGAATTATATTCTTATGGTAATAATATAACATTTCTTAGAATTAAACCAAAACCATTCGTAAAATTATTAAGACCTACACTTTTTTTTTTAAACATTACTACAAATATTGACTCAAGTTTTATTTAATAATATTTGAAATAATATTTAGACCGTAACTAAACGAATTGCACGTACGTGTTTTGAATGTTATGAAATATTTCGTATAGATTTCGTTTCATAAAACATATCATAAAATTTAAAAAAAAAAGATTTGAATCTCATTTGCATAGAACACCAAAAAAATCTAAATATGTCTTACGTAGAGCTGGGGATTGTATTATTGTCCACGCGTATGGGATTAATTTAATATGACAGATCTATTTCTTTATGTACCTATGTATAATGCAAGTAATTGTGTAGCGATCATAAATTTAAGCTTTTCAAAAATTGATTCAAAAGATGGAGGCTTATGTAAATATGGCATGACGAACCAAGGACCAATCTTAGACTGTAAGCCAGAAGGGAAAGAAAAGTTGATAATATTTTCCTTGTTTATTTCCCATTTAAAAACACGTAATTCTGCCAGTGTTATCAGATATTACGTATGAAACACAATTGGATTTTCAACAGATGTCCTGATAGTCATTTTTGATTTTTTTTTTAAAATTTCAAATGGAAATTTTGAGTTAAAATACAAATTTTAAACAATTTTCTTCCATTAACGTGAAAGACTAAGTTTCACACCCGTACAAAATAATTTGTAAAGTATAATAAATACACTTTTTAATTTTTACATTTTAGATAGATTGGAAAATTAAGTATTTTAAAATTCATGGTAGCAAGGATACTGTGAAATAATCTTCCCCTAATTTTTTCGTCAATTCAACTTTAATTTGCTACCGTATTTCCAAAATATCAGAATTTTGCTACATTTTTAAAGGACTTCTTAATTTACCTCTCCACAATTATTTTGAAATGTTTTACGAGACATGAACGTGTACTTCCTTTCTTTGATTTTACTTCTAGACAAACTTCCTGTTTGAAGTTTCGTATTTTATTCCGCTGTTGCAAAACGTTTCCAGTTATTATATCGTATTACTAATGGCTTCTAAAATATATAGATGAGAGTCTGGATTTTAAAAGAATATGGTGATATTTCCTTATGACAGCAGTATTGGAATAACATATGTACTCTGTGCTACAGTCAACGATTATCACTTTGCTCGCGTGTTGTGTTATCGTAGTATGTCGTCACTTCCGCTTTCCATCCAACGAGCCTAACTTCTTAGTTCATTTGAGCTCAGTCAGCAACGGACCGGTCTGTGCGGTAGTGAGGTGTGTGGTAATGTCTAGTGCGACCTTGATTTAAAATGTTTTTGCTTAAATAATGTGAGCGTTTAGTTCATGAGTAGCAGGCAAGATTTAACATTGTTCTTAAAACTCGATTTGTTATGGAACCTTACGACACATATCTTAAATGTGACATTATTGTGAGCTGTGTGGTAATTGTAGAAGAAAATATGGCTGCCTGAAAGAGGTGTATGAACTTTTATCTAGCGATGTGTATGTGGTTTGGTTACAGAGGTGGTTGCGGAGATAGACGTGCCGTATATAATGCTCAAGAAAATGTTGGAAAGAAGACGCTATGTTCGCAGCCGAATTTTTACAGAGTACATTCGTTTACATGCGATTTGGAAAGTGTGTTTACTTCCGAAAAATGTCACTCGCAGTAAGATATATTTAATTCATGTGCGGAATATATGACAGAGCTCCATTGTTTGTGTCAAATTGTGGTTTCGTAGAAAAATGGTTGTGTACTATATACCAGCAATGAACAGAAACATTCACTTGGACTCTTGTTTTTACAACTTTCAAAAACGATTCTTGGAAATAACCAGTTAATACTTCTATCAGCGAATGTTCTAGAGACAGCGCATGCGCAATAGATGCAGCACATTGGACTCTCCCTGAAGTCTGCTTTCCCGTGAGTGTGACCGCCAAGGCCACGAGCCAAAGCGTTGTTTTATTCGTAGATTCGTTGCAAAGGATGTTGTAATGTCTGTGATGGTACTGCATTGTTATTTGTGCTTAAGGAGAAGTTTAATCTTTTACCGCAGTTCGTGATTGCTAAACCCTTTCACGAATACATTTAGAATGAATCTTTAATGAAACCACAGTGAATTCCGATTTAAATGCGGAGTTCTGTAGGTTAGCCTACGTCTAAAGCTTATGCCACTTAAGGACTACACTCCCTTCCCGTTACCGCGCAACTCGAAGTCACCGCCAGTACAGCATTCTTAGCTTTGCTACGCTGCGAGTTCTGATCTGTCTTTACTCGTTTGGGCTCCTCTGTTCCTATTGCAAGTTATGCGATTTTTATGTGACCTTGAAGCATTCTGCTGTAATTTAACTTCAATACAGTGAAAGTACTTGTTTCATTAAAGTCCGGGAATGGTCTTTAAACAGTATGTTCCAAAATTATGGATGTATTAGCAAAGTTATTAACTTATTTATATCCATATATTTCTATAGGATATTCCTTAAATTTATTACTATAATTTATATTTTTTAACTGAATTATTATTGTCTCATAGATAGTATGACTTTCAAAAGTGATTTAAATTATCATTCTGGCTGTGAAATGAAACTGTTTTCTATGAAGGTCACTTGACTCGTTCGGTTGGTATGTACTACCCATATTTTTGACAGAATTTCCCAGCGCCGTCTCATTTCCTGCGTCGATATCTTTGGTTTACGTAGTACATACGTTTGTTTTCCTTCTACCGGCAAGCTAGTGACGTAAGCAAATTTAACATTTTAATCCGGGGTAAAATAAATGGTAATTTATAATGTGTCAATGAGTGTGTGGCTGATTGTATAATATATGCGTAGTTATTATGAATCGTGATTTAAGCAGCACAATGGTAGACACGGCTATAAATAATGTATAGCTCGAGTCATTAATGTTTCATATTTAAGTCTGATCCATTTACAATCAATAAGCACCGTCTCTTCTAATGACGATAATATAAACTACCATGTTTACATATTCTGGTTTCAGTAATAGAAAAAACATAGAAATTGTTGATTTATTTTTAAAACATTTTTGGCTAGTAATTATAGAACTATTTTAATTTAAAATAAGACACATATTAAAGGTTTTATGACGAAACGCTATCTACATATTAATCCTTGGGAAGGAACACAGACTTTCAAATATTAGACTTAGTTCGAGCAACGGTTTTATACGTGGGATTTTGTTGCCGAGATACATTTTCGCTTTGGAAAATTATTCTAACAATCTCTCATTATAATTATTAACCCAATGCCAGCTGCCTTTGGTAGATAGTATGTAGCAAATCCCATCAATTAACTTCTTAATCCTTTGGAAATTGGACCCTAAATCTTGTTGTACTATGTAGGATTTTAGGTTTGCAAGGTGATATATAAGATAGATGGTGTTCTTCTGTGTAGTTCCTCCGAAACTTTGGCACACAGTGAAAATGCTACACGGTGCAATATCGCAGATGGCCACTACATGTATTTTACTGGTTTGTTATTTGTTAAATTCCACATTCGCGTCTTTGTTGTTTACATACGTAGATCACGGAATGTACGTCACAGAGCACCCTGTGTAGTAGTTTACTGAAAGGTTTAGTTCGGTTGCTGTATGCAGTTCGACTCATGGACGCGGTGTAAAGGGGAATGTAAAGACCCAGTTAAAAACATTGAACGTCGATTCTACAGTAAAACAGGATTAAAGACACGTCAGTGGTAAACAACGTGTTTTGAAATGGAAATTTCACATTGATTGAAATTTCTGTTACATTGTTTTCCTCCTCGCCCAAAATTCTACCCGGTCAATGATAGATATCAGTACCTCAGTAATCTGTAGTAGTTTTATTTTAAAAATAAATTTGCCTTCGTATCGAATAGACGCGGAGGTTTTAATTATGGCAGGACTAATTGACGTTTTCATGTTTGCTTGGGGAGTCTTGATTTTTGCACTAAATTTCGAGTGTTACTGCTAGACGATTACCATCCGCGCGGGTTTTAAATTCTTAAATTTTATTTAAGATACATAAAATGTTTGTAAAGCTGGGTAACATAGAATCTCACAAAAAATATTGCTTTGGCACTACAGATTTTCAGAATTCGAATTTAAAAAAAGCAAAATTTTAAATTGCAAATGTATAAATATAAAAACTATATATATATATATCGTATTTTTATTTGACTTAAAAGGATTAATACAGAATTATATATTTATATATTGTAAATACATGCTCCTACGATGTTTTACGTCCATGATAATTTGTGCAGCAAAGAAAATTAAAGAAAAATATATATAACCTACTTATTTAATTTAATTTTTATAATTTCCTACTATCTGATTTTCTCTCCAGTCACTCCCGCCTGCAGAAATACACGTAGATATTTATGCGAATAATATTAGAAGCAAAGTGAAAACATTATGGCGATAAGTTCGAATGCGAATCTTAAATTAATATTTAATAATTCTGATCTTAATTCTAAGTCAGCATTACAAAGGTCAATTGCTTAACTTGGTTTATAAATGTATTTGATGCGTATTCTGATAATCAAATTAAATCCATAAATACAATATTCAGTGCTAGTACTTACTGGTGAAGAAGCTGGTACATATAGTTACCACTAAGATTTAAAGGATTAAACGCTGTTTTGTACATGTATACGTGTATAGTTAATGATATATTGTGAGGGATAATGCAATATTGTCCAAAAACTTTATTTTGTTTACAAGTCACGATATTAAATTTGTACACATAACGTCCAGTAAATTTAAATTAAATTTAAAAGAAGATGTCTCGTGACGTGGGTCACAATTTGAAGAAAACGTTTTGGCATATTTAATTATTACATTATTTTTCAGCATTGTTCATGGACATCTTTGTTCTAATTTCTTATGTGGCTTTGGGTTACGAAAATTTGATGTTTTTTTTAAGACAGGCCTGCAGAGATTCTAGCGCTAGGTCTTCATAGCGGCTAATATGTCAATGACGGTACATAGAATATTTTTTTGCGTATTATTTTAATTGTATCTTTACATATTATTATGTATTTTTTTTAAATGTGGTAAATTATAAAATATGTTTTTCTCCTTCTGTATGGAATTGAGGATTTAATTTCATAAAGAAACATGCCTGAAATATTATTTACATTCTTGGTATAGGTTCCGTGTATGACTGATATACAGGGTGTCCCAAAAAAGATGTATATACGGCCGTCCCAGCAGTACCTTTGGTGACCGCTTGTCAGTCAACTGCTCACCGCTGTCAACAGTGCCAAGTAGCTAATGGTAGTCATTTTGATAGCCTACGCTAGAATCGCTAATTCACTAAGTGCCAATACTTAAGTGTGTAATGATTTAGTTTATTACATTTATTGAATGTGTTTATACATCTTTTTGGGAGACTCTGTACATATTTCCTCTTAGTTTTTGGAAGTGAGTCCTAAATGTATAGGAAATTTGTGTAGGCTCTTATTACGATAAATATAATATTTTTGTTATAATTAATATGTAAGTAGAGTTGTTGTTATTTGTTATTACGGATGTTAGTCGATATGAAAGTTTTGGTATCGTAGGTGGTCATATCTATATCGAATCGTTTATCAGTCGGTTTAGAAAATATTTAATTGCTAATTTGTTACTTTGGTTTTAACATCATATTTTGTCATTGTTTTTATTAACATTGTTGTACATAAAAGTTAATTGTAACGTAAACTTCCACTACTAATTAAGACATTCTGCTTATAAATTAGTAATACGATCAGTTATTTCATGGTCTACTGCTATGTTTTTCCTTCTTTATCGCTAAAAGGGAAAATATATATTATTATTTATTATTATTATTAGTTTAGTAACACTAACGTCAATTCTAAATTTAGTGATTACTTATCTGGTATTAAATTATTCTGATTAACGCCGTATTTATTTATAAATGATAAAAGTATATAGTGATATATCCATACGATAAATTTCGATGTCTAATATATTCAGCGATATCGTATTGTATCGATTTATCGATATCAAATGACATCGTTAGTTGTTATGAATTAGTGTATATTTTGTCATGTAAAAGACAAAATATAAGTATGTTAGGTATAGTTCAAATATAAGAGGTAATTGTACGGTATGACAAAATAGAAGGCAATAATTACTTAAAAAATATATAAATAAGAGAAAGTAAATAAAGTAGTGTGATTGAAAATATTAGTATATAGCCTACTAAATATTCTCTGTGAAGTTTTCCATTTCATTTTTCAATTTTTTTTTTCGTCTGAGGATATAAAAATGTTACTTGTAATATTAAATAAGTTTTTTCATTATTATTATTTTCCAATATGTAAATATGACAACAGTCAGTTCTCTTGAGTCCGTTGCTCAGAGTTAATAGGAAATTAAACAATACATAAGCATTTTTAAAAATTACATTTGTGTAATGTATTGTATATCGACTATTTATACTGTGTGATGTAGAATAAAAAGTAGACTTGAACATTTGAATATTAACATATTCATATCTGGCGAAGAAATCATTATCTCTGAAGTCCTTGATGTAATATTATTAACTACATAATTTTTTGTAGAAAAATATAAAATTACGTCCAAATATCTTTCGTGACATTTTAATGTTTTTGTAGTTCATAATGTGATAAACTGTATATTTATAAAGATCAGAAATTGTATCAATCACATTTGAGATTTGTCCTATTTGGGCCTTTGTGTGTGTAGTTACAAATAAGTTTTCAGGGTTCAAAAATACGCGCGTATTCCTTGAAACATTTAGTGTCTAATTCTTTCTTTCTTTCTTTCTTTCTTTCTTTCTTTCTTTCTCTCTCTGATCCTCGTTTTACCCGTAGGTGTCGAGGTTTTTATTCATTTTCTTGATATATTTGGTCAGTGGTAGGACTCTTTGGATGGGTGATCAGCCCGACGCATAC